AAGCCAGGAGGCTTCTTCCTGAGACCTATTTTAAAATATATTATTCGAGGGCTGAAGAGATGGCTCAGCAGTTAAGAGCACTGACTGCTCTTGCAGGGGACCCGGGTTTGGTTCCTAGCACCCACATGGTGGCTAGTAACCATCCCTAACTCCGGTTCCAAGGGATCTGACGCCATCTTCTGACCTCTGCAGGTGTTGCGTGACATGACACGAATGCACTTACATATGTGCAAAGGAATACACTCATACACAAAAAGTAAAAATAATAAAATATTTAAATGTATGTATTATTTGGTGTAGTAAACATGGTATGTATGTCTGTAATCTCAGCATTTGAGAGGTGGGGGCAGCAGGATCAGGAGATCAAGGCCATCCTCAACTGCACAGCCAGTGTAGGGTCACCCTGAACTGTACGAAACCCGATCTTAATTAAAAGAACAAATAAAATGAATGTGTTAGTCTTAATACCAGTCATGGTTGCTCACACACACTCCCAGCACTTAGACAGCTGAGACAAGACAACAATAGTGAGTGTGAGCCAGTCTGGGCTACAGAATAAGGCCTGGTCTCAAGTAGATAGATGACAGACAGACAGACGACAGCTGGAGAGATGGCTCACCAGTTAAGAGCACTGCCTGCTCCTACAGAAGACCCAGGTTTCGACTCCCAGCACCCCCATGGTGACTAACAACCATCTGTAACTCCAGTTCCAGGGGATCTGATGCCCTCTTCTGGCCTCTTCAGGCATTGCATGCTTGTGGTGCACTTATATACATGCAGGCCACACAATCATACAATAAAAATAAATTTAAAAATTAAAAAAATAAATAGACATATTTTCACTAAACAAGAATTCTGACAGCTAAATTATCTGTGTATAACCAAGCTGTAGCCCTAGCTGTCCTAGAACTCACTATGTAGACCAGGCTGGCCTCGAACTCACAGAGATCCGTCTGCCTCTGCCTCCCAAGTGCTGGGATTAAAGGCATGTGCCACCATACCTAGCAAAAAAAAAAAACTTAAAAAAAAATTTTTTTTGGTCTTTTTGAGACAGGGTCTAGAACTCGCCATTTGGCCCAGGCTGGATTTAAACTGCTGGCAAGCCTCCTGCGTCTGTTGCCTCCACGCTGGGATTACAGGTTGATTAGGTTAGATGACGGGATGAGCCCGAAGCCTCACAGTCCTTGTAGGAGTATGACAAGACCCCAGAGCGTCCCCTCTGCTCTGCCATGTGAGGACCCAGCAGACAGTGAGCAAAGAGATCTCAAAAAATAAAATCTGCTGCCCAAGATTCGAGTTTTCCAGCCTCCAGAAATCTGAGCAACAAATGTGTCACTAAAGCTACCTGTCTACAGTGTTTCGTCATATCCGAGGGGACTAAGACAAGACTCCAAGGTGATATGAGCTGATAAATGTCTGTTTGGCCCTCTGCTGCCTGTTTTAGTAAAAGAACAAAAATGGAGTCATGTTGGGATTACAAAGTCAGAGGACTGGGAAGGGCTCACCTGCCCCCAAGTCATTCTGGGAGGGCTGGGTCTATAAGCTTCCAGCTCACAGTCTGATGTCAATAGGGTTGGGGATGACAGGGTCGCAAAGTGGACCCACCAGCACATGAGTATAAGAGGGGACAGATGGAACTCTACAACCACCAGACCAATAAATACCACCAGAAGGAGGGTCTGCAAGCTCTTCCTGAAAAATTCCACTGTGTTCCTTTTTCCAAAATTATATTTGAAAAAATCTAAACTAGCAGAAAAGTTGAAAGGATAATACAATGAAAGCCTTTCACCTAAATCTGCCAGTTTTGTCATCTTTGCTCTCTCTCTCTCTCTCTCTCTCTCTCTCTCTCTCTCTCTCTCCACACACACACACACAGACATACACGGCCAGTGGGATGGCTCATTGAGTAAGGGAGCTTGCTGCCAAGCCTGACAGCTTGAGTTTGATACCCAAGATCACATAGTAGCTGGTCCTTGAGAAGGATGAGCTTGTGTCCTGGGCACTTTTGGCTCACAGTTCTCTGTGGGAGCCAGGCGTGCCTGCCACGCTTCCTGCACTACCCGCCCCCAGTAGTCCCCATGAGAGAGATGAAAGAGGCTCTAATAATATGATTCTACCCTCTGTTTGGACTCCCTATCCAGGCTGCAAGCTGCTGGGGAGGGGAGAGGAAGGCTGATCTTGCCTGATCTCAGGTTGGCTGTCCTTACCCCAGTTCCTTGAGTCCCCACTTGGGGCCTCAGCCTGTAACTGCCCCTTCCTGGCATCTGGTCCTCGGCCTTGAGGGCACCCAGCCTGCGGGGGAAGCTGCCCGAGTGATCTACAGCAGCAGCTGAAGGTTGCTTCTCTGGGCTCCAGATCCTTTTCAATAATCAGCTTTGTGAGTCAGAGGCCGCAGCTGCCCCAGGCTGCCCAGGCCTAGCTGGGAAAGAAGCGGATTGGATTAGAGGGGAGGTGGTTAATGGAAAATGAAGAGGTGGGGAGAGGGAGGGAAGGAGGGCAAGGGGAGTTAAGCGCCCCTCTGGGGCAGTGGCTTCCGTAACAGCAGGTGGGGTCAGCCTGGCTCCCTGGCTGCTGCCTTTCACTTAGAGACCCTGAAGGAGGTATTCAGCAAGTGCGAGGACATCATCCAGTGCAGCTTCCCAACTCTGAGTTATCTTCCCTGTGGGCATTCCTGTGGTCATCAGAAAACACTGCCAACACTTGAAATGCCCGAGTCTATTTCAAGATGACTTCTAAGCAGCTGCTTCTTGCATTAATTCTACTACTGGGAAGAGAGGAGAGGACACAAAGATGTCTGTGTCTCCAGAGCCCTGACCCAGGCCCACTTGACATTTGCCTGCAGGACTACAGGGAGGCTAGTCAGCTGCTGAGCTCACAGGGGATGAGTCTGAACTCCAGATGAGAAACTGTCTTACTGTTGGTGTATTCTCTCGAAGCAGCTGGCCTACAGTCTGTTGGACGTGAATTCCCTGTATCTTACCCTGCCGTTCAAAGCACCCACTCAGCTGGGTATGGTGGCAGATGCCTGTAATCCCTAAGATTTGGGAGGTTGAGGCAGGAGGATTTCGAGTTCCAGGCCAGTGTGGAGTACACAGTGGGCTTAGGGCCAGGCTAGGCTACATGGCTGAGACTCTCTCAACCAACCAATGAACCAATCAACCAAACATACAAACAAAAACAAAGAAAAAAACCAAAAATGCCCACTTGCTGTCAGAGTAGAGAAAGCAGATTCATCTAGATGGGTAAAGTATACAAAGGCCCCTAGGATGAATGCTGAGAAGCCAAAAGCCTTAGAAAGTTTTAAAGAAATACTCTACTCCATGGGCTGGAGAGATGACTTAGTGGCTAAGAGCACTTACTGCTCTTCCAGAGGACCTGAGTTTGGTTCCCAACACCCATGTCAGGCGATTCACAACCACCTGAAACTTCAGCTCCTGCTGATCTAACGCCCCCTTCTGCCATGCACACACACACACACACACATACATAAATAAAAGCAAATAAATCTTTTTTTTTTTTCAATGCTGGGCCTGGTGGAGCACACCTTTAATCTCAGCACTAGGGAGGCAGAGGTAGGCGGATCTCTGTGAGATCAAAGTCAGCATGATCTACATAGCGAGTTTTAAGCCAGCTGGGGCTACAGAGAGACAGTTCCAAAAAAATCAACAATAATAATAATAATAAATACATTTAAAAGGAAATGTGCTATACCAGAGGATCAAGATCTGACTGTGTCCCACTAAGTGACACCTTGGGTTTCAGTCTGTCCCACTAAGTGACACCTTGGGTTTCAGTCTAAAACCTGCTGCTGAGTGATAAAGGACCAATCTGTAAACAGGGGAATGGAGAGCCATGTGTCCTGAGAAAAGTTTACATATTCTCTTGAGACCAGGAGGTAAGCAGGATTCCCAAACATGGGAGCCAACCTAACATCCTCCTATGTCCAAACCCCACCTTGTCATTAACCCCAGCTGGGTGAGCCTCCTCCTGCTCTCCATCCTTTTGAACACAAAGCCCTTCCCCAGGGCTGGTTAGAAGCCACTCTAATGACACAATTAGTCACCCACTTGTCAAGCTCAGAGGGGGTCTGGCAGACTCAGCAAAGAGAAATGTTTCTGAGCCCAGCCTGGCTTCCCCTCCACCCCACCCTGCCCCCCAGGAGCTTCTCTCCAGTGTAAACCATTGTGTCCAGCAAGGGACAGAGGAGGCACCCACAGATAGGCTGATCATGCACCAAAGCAGCCCACAGCTTCCACTGTCCTGGTTATCCTGCCCTCCAGGCAAAGCTCGGAGATAAGAACAAAGTGTTACAATCTCACCAGAGACAAGAGGTGGTGGCCTGGGCTAGCCTGGAGTAGTGAAACCCCAGAAACATGGGCAGGCTGGGCCCCAATCTACAGAGATCCCCAGATGAGAGGTGCAGGGATGAGGGGCCCTGAAGCTTGCTGGTCATGACCAGCTCCGGAAGGTGAGTTTGAGGGTGTCTGATGTACTACAGCCTTCATACAGGCCAGACAAGAAGTGGGGTGGGTGGAGGTGTGCCACCCAGCTCCCGGTGTTTGAAAAGGACATCACAATGATTGCAACGAGTGCCTTTTCTTTCCATCCCCATCCAGCCTCACAGGGCCAACACTGACTCTAGAGTCTGGGTTTCAAGTTGTCCGGAGAGAACTCCAACTTCCCTTCCCCTCACCCCTAAAGTACTGTGTCTGCCACAGCAAGCCAACTCCATTGCAGACCCTGAAGTAAGGCACGTGCCCGTGGGTTCGGGCACCGGGGGGAGTAGGGGGACAGCGGCAGGAGGAGGGCGTGGAGCAGAGTGCCATGGCTGTGGGAGGCCCGGGGAGGCAGAGAGGAAACTGCCCAGCTCCCACGGGCTGCGGGGGGATGGAGCGTCCGGGCCGCGGGCTCTGCCCTTCCTGGGGCGGTCCAGCCTGCAGCTCTCTACAGGGGACCCCAGGGATCCGGGCCGGGGATGGGGAGGGGACCCCGGTCCGTACCTGCCTGGCCTCCGCCGCCAGCTCCTCCGGGCGCTCGGGCTGGCGCGGCTCCGCTGGCTCAGGCTCCGGGGCGCAGGGGCCGGGCGGTGCGGGAGCCCCGGGGGCCTC